AGTTGGCAGAATCAGCACTTGGGGCAGGGACAGTGCGCGGAGACACCCCCCCTCAGGGGCTGCAGGGACGTGCCGGCCGCTCCTGGAAGCGGAGCGGGCGGGCGGGAAGCCACCTTAGCCCCGCTGCGCTGCCGGTAGTGGCGACAGGAGCCCCGGGCCCTTTTAAATTGCCCAGGGGTGGCAGGCTGGGCCGGAAGGGACGCTCTGGGGGAGGCATGTGGGGGGGCATGCAGGGCCGGGGGAGAGACCTGGCCCCGAACTTTGGTGGAACCAGTCTGCCGTGCTCTCATATTGGTGGAGCACGGGCACCACGGGCCCATACAACTCACTGCCCCGTCCATATTCAGTGGCATGTCATCATTTACCAAATGCAGGGCATTCAGATCAACAAAGTTGGGATTTCCCACGAAATAAACTCTTTTACTGTGGCCTCCAGATCTGGAGAGGAGTCCTTCTGGATGCATCTGCATGTACACCCTTCAGAGTTAAAGATCTCTCTATCCAGGTTCAGATCCCTTCCAGGTTTTTTCAAAGACCAGGGACTGTACTGTTTTGCCCACTGCTTTCAATACCTGTCTTAGCAACACCCACTTTTGTTCTTTCCATACCCACACTATTGTGTGGACAACATTCAGCATGTTAGGACCATTTTTAGCTTCCTTTTTCCTCTGAGAAGAGCTCTTCTTTTTAGTATAGGTCTGGTTGTAGCCTTGCTCTGCTGCCACATCAAGATCCTACGGTTTTAGAGCCATAGTCCGGCAGCTCTCTGCTTCAGCAGGCAGATATATGTCCTCGTCGAAATCATCTTCCTTCTGTAGTGGCCTTGGTCCACACAACTCTAGCTCTTTCTCCTTAGCTGAGTTGGACTTTGATCCTGGCTGGGCCTTGAGCAGCTTCTGGAGCTTAGTAAGCTCCTTTTGCAGCAGAAAGCACTGCTGTTCCCCTGTCTCCTTCTCCACTGTGAGGCAGGTCAGCTCTTACTCCCGATTTACTGCTTGCCCTATGATCCTGTCCCACGAAGAGCAGATATCTTCCAGCTCCTGCCGGTATTGCGTGACCTGTGTCTGTAGTTCCAGGATTTCAGCCTGGTTCCGATCAGCAGTAGCAGCTTTCTCTTCTAGCTCACCCCAGTCCCTTATTGTAGAGGTTTGCTCTGTAGATGAGGGGGCTACTGCCATTATTGCAGCCTCTGTTGTGCATGGAATCTTAGTGTTCGTACCACAGGACACCCGCTTCTTTATTAGACTGCTACCTGCTCCTTTGGGGAGGTCTTTCTGAATGTCTAGCTCATCAGCCAACGCACTGGTATCCATACAAGCCTCCTGGTACTCTCTCTGTTCTCACCGTCTTATCATGGGTTTCCAGACATGCCTCTGTGAGTCGGACCTGCACATCTACAGAGGCGGGGATCATTTCTCTGGTCTTAGCCTCTAGCTCAGGGGTGGGCAATAGTTTTCACAGGGGGCCCACTCCACGAATTTTGGTAAGTCGTCACGGGCCACACATTTCTTATTAATGAAATTACCTCACCATCTATTGTAAAAAGACCCCCATTATGTTCTTTACACAAAGTAATTACACTTAATAACAATTAACTGTATACATGATTATCCAAAACTTAAGGCAATTTATATTGCAAACCGTTTTGTGAACACTTGTAAAATTTATAATAATAACACTAACGCTAAGCTTTTACTTACAACTTATGTTCATTATTAAAATTAAGTGTAAAAGAAGAAATGAAACTCAGTGTGAAGAAGAAAGTCTCTGATGGGCATTAACAAGGGAGGTGAAGTCAGGTGTCATTTCTGTTGTTGCAGTGCGGAGCACTGCTGCAAGGTGGTCATCATTGATCCAAGATCTGTTCTTTGATTTATTGAATTTCATCACAGAAAATGTCTGCTCACAGACACAAATTGATCTGAACAGTACAAGCATCTTTTGGGCACGAGCCTTGATCTTTGGAAAGTTCTGTTCATTGAGAGATGCGTAAAACCTCGGAAGTGACGCTGATTTGAATTGCTCCGCAAGCAGTGCATCACACTGCAAGTCAATAAGCTCAAGTTGGAGGTCACTTGGAGTGTTGTCCACAGACCACATCACATGTGAAAGGGGAGGAGATCAAAGCTATGTCATTTTCTATCCTTCTAAAATCCTTAAAGCGGCAAGAAAATTCACCATGCATAGCGAGCAGTAATGACATATTTCTAGGTGCTGGTCAGATATTGTAATCTGTTGCAAAGTGGGGAAGTGTGTGAACTGCTTGTTTCCAATCTGATGGAAAAAGGAGCAACTTTGTCATGAAAGACTTGACAAGGGAATACATGTCATGAACAAAAAGCCCCCTACCTTAAAGATTCGAATTCAGTTCGTTCCTGTAACCCATAACATCAATGGCAAATGCGAAATCAGAGAGCCAGTTCACATCATTCAATTGAGGGAAATCCACATCTTTTCCATTCATTTTCAAAAACAAATCAATCTCTGCTCTCAGGTCCCACACTCTTTTCAGAACTTCCCCCAACCTAAGCCATCTAACATTTGTATGGTACTGAACATCCCTGAGCTCTGACTCAGACTCTTCCAGCAAAGAGATAAATTGCCTGTGGTTTAATGCTCGTGCTCCAATAAAGTTGACCAATTTTGTAACTGTATCCACGACATTGCTTAATGTCAGAACACTTTTGCAGAGGACCTCTTGGTGAATAATACAATGTAGAAAAATTATTTTCTGCTCTGGGTTTGTTTCTGTTGCTTGGTCTTGTATTTTTTTCAACAATCCAACATTTTTGCCTGTCAGATTAGGGCTTCCATCAGTGGTCACACTCACCAATTTCTTCCACTCCAATCCCAATTTTGAGACACTGTTATTTACTGCCTCCAGTAGATCTTTTCCAGTAGTCACATTTTTCATTGACTGACTGCATTGATGCCAGTTCTTCTGTGAGTTCAAAAACCTTGAATGAAAATTAACAACTGGGCTGTGTCTTTAATGTCACAACTTTTGTTGAGTTCCAGCGCAAAGTATGAAAAATTATTTACCTTGTTTTTCAACTGTTGGTCCAGGTTCTCTGAGATTTCTTCTATACATCTCACCACTGTTCACCTTGACAATGAAATGTTTTCAAACTGCTTTTTCTTGTCTAGGCACAATATCGCAGCAGAGTCAACCAAACATTCCTTGATAAATTCTCCCTCGGAGAATGGTTTGCTGTTTTTGGCGATTTTGTGTGCAGTCATGGAGCTTGTTCTTATAATTCCATCTTGTGCTGCTCATTTTTAAATTCTACCCCTCCACTGAAGTGCCATGTAATAAAATAATTTGCGCAAAAACTGAGAGCTATTAAGTATTGTTGATTTTGTGGAATGGTGGGTAGGGGGATGTGACAAAGTGCATTTACCTTCTTCTCTTTTTTGGCTTTGATCCTGCAATGAGCTCTGTGAGCAGAGGTGAAAGCAAGCCAATCCAGTCCGGTACAGCATACCAGTAAGAAAGTGGGCACTGATACATAGTCGACTGTATCGGCAGGGCCTCTGGTGGGGGGAGGAGGAGGCAAAAGGGGCATCTGCCCCGGGGCCTAGCAATTTAAAAGGGCCTGAGCCTCCACCTTGCCCGGGACCCTGGCCGCCCATTAAGTTACTTTCACCCCTGTCTGTGAGAATGGAGGTCTGCACCAAAACAAAGCCCTGTTGACTTTTATTTTGGGTGTTCCCCCTAAGGAGTTTGTTGCAGGGTCAGGGCCTTAGTTATTACTAATTTCTGGCTTCATAACACGTCAGAGTTTTTTGTTCATATACCAGACAAGGAAGATAATTATCAACAACTTAAGACAAATCGGCAAACTCATCAGTGACTATTACTGTGGTTCTCTGTATTTTTAAAGAGATTAAGTTTAAAAGAAATGAATTTTAAAAAAACATTTAACATTCATGTTATGTTTTAGAAGAAATCCTCTCTTGTGGGACTAGTTAAGTTATGTGTTTTGATGCCTAGCAATATGTGAACTGCTGCAAAGATCACATCATATTTCAAGAATCCTGTAATGAATAGTTCTAAATCCCACGTAAAATGCTGGTTAGGAACTAGCCCAAACCAGAATCCTTTATTCCATAGAAGTTTGTGACTAAGTAAGAACTGTAGCAGTTATTGTAAATTGTTATGTTGACAATTTTACAAATGCTGATGTATGACATAAGTCTGTACACCACTACTGGAAGCCACAGTTGTGGTGGTGATTTTGCTGTGTCCGTAATGATGCGAGTGGCAGTGCTGAAAGTCAACAAGTGATGCGTGGAAGCTGTGTATCCATATGGGTGAGCAGTGTTCTGTGGTACAATAAACAGGGCCCAGTGAAAAGATCCGTAGGCAGCGCTGCCGACAGAATTGCCGGGCTCCTGGTGAAGGGCATTATGCACCTGCCCCAGAAAGGTCCAAAGCATTGTGGGATCAGTGCAGAAATCCACAGGCCCACCAGTGGTTGAACAGTGTGTTGTGTGTAGATATGGTGCATGGTGTGCACCCAAACAAGATGGCTAGTAAGAAGATATTGCCCCATGCAACAGTGCAATTCCCTAACACAAACAACCCAACATCATTGATAGGATGGTTTTAATATTCTAACCTGCTAATAATGCATAGTTCTAAGATGGGTCTCAAACAAACAATCCCTATCTGTATACTACTTAAACGTCATTGTAGCTAGCACAGTTCAGTCCCCACTACAGAAGAAACCCTAGTCAATCTGAATTTAAAATCACTTGTTAGAAGTGGCCCCTCCACATTCATTTCTTTCTCTTCTATTAAATTACATTTAATTTTCTAGAGGCCAAGAACTGTAACAAAATAATGTTGACCACAGTGCATTTGTTTTATGATTATAGTTTTGTGTCATGTCTATATCATATAGTATTATCTTTGTCAGATCAAATAAGCACCATGTTGAGCGTCTTCCTTTCTTCACAGTGGACTTGAAAAATAAAAACTCTGCTTCTCAATACAGACAGTTGGGAGGGAGCTGCTGCTCCATTTGATAGACTTCCTGGTGACCAATGATCAGAGCGATCCAGTCGTTACAAGGCTAATCAATAGCACGCGGATTCATATCATGCCATCAATGAACCCGGATGGATTTGAAGCTACAACAGTGCATGACTGTTATTACTCAGAAGGAAGGTAAGGATGTGTGTTTTTTCAGCGTAGGGTAGGGGGCAGAGGAGACAGTAAGTAGGGAGGTTGTTGTTTGTTTCGTTAACATTTAGAGATAGCCAAGTGGCTGGGTCATACTTGGTGGATAGAATAGCCTAGGAGCTACACTCGGGATATGTTTTGGGCCACAGTCTTTAGAAGGCATACTAAATGGGGCACAGGGCTTTGCTTTGAAGAAACTGTCAGACACTGGGTGTGCGAGAGAGAAAGCGTGCGCATGCATGTGCCCTTGGAGATCTAGGGGCACGGAGAGGAGAGAGAGAATACCAGCTCTGAACTAGAGAGGAAGGATCATCGTTTTTAAGTGGTTTAAACTTGGGTTATTCTGGATTCTGACTCAAAGTACATCTTCTCGGGATCCCCAAGATGCCAAAAAATAAAAACGGTCACAAGGACTTAACTTCAACTGAGAATCTCAAATTTTCAGAATCAGGGGCAGGCAGAATGCCCTCTACCCCCAACCCTTCTTTGAGATGAGGTGGAAGATTGAAAACTTAAAATGAATCTGTTTGCTATGGGGGGAGGGGGGCATAAACGAATACAATGTTTAACAATACACATGCCTAACTGGGCGAAGCCTCCACGCCTCACCTGCCCCACCAAGAAGGAAAATTTAAGAATTCACATTAAAACCAGACATTTTATGCACTACAAAAGCACAGGTTATTTCACCCCACCCCTACAGCAGAACACTTACGGTGTCTCAGTTGATTTCTACTCTGGGCCAATTTTAGGCAAAGATGGAACAGACCGCTATAGAGAGCTCTACATCGGTGGGGAGGTGCTGTGTAGTGCTTCCTCTAAAGCAGTGATGGTTGTATTCTTACAGCACATCTCCACTGAGAATTTTTGTCAATTCTCTGACGGTTGGTCTAGCACCAATGTTGCTAGCATAGACTGCCCGCAGCATTTTTACACCTCTCTGTCCATATTGCTTTTATCCAGTTAAGACAGGGTAAAAATATTAGCAGCCATGTTCACACTAGCTGCAGTGGTACTAGACCATTGGTAGGAGAACTGTCAAGTTCCCAGTGAAGACAAAGCCTTAGGCCCCATCTATGCTAACAAAAGGTAGAATTACAAAGCAGTATTACAAAGCAGTCTCAATAATGTGGATGAGGTTGTGCAAATGGAGCTGGGTTCAAGGGATATTGCACTAATGGCAGCTGGCTCTGTGTGTGTAAAGTATTTGATGCCAAAGAAAACGTAAACGTTGTGCCACTTCTGCAAACCTTTATATGCTCTAGTGTTATTGCTGGTGACCCTGCAGAGACTAAAAAGGGTAGAAAATTTTAAAAAGCCAGAGAAAAAGAGACAGAATGGAAAAGTATAAGGAAGAGAAATGCTAAGTGGCAGAGAACAAATTAACAAAGTTGGGAAGGTAGAGGAGAACAAAGTGCCCAATCCTGCAACTCATATTCATGCAAGTAGTTGTGCTGATTGTACCAGGACTACTTGTGTAACTAAGAATTGGGTTCTCTTGGATCTTTTGCCTTGGCTGTCATACTCACTTTGGCAACCTAGGGGATTTGGCGCCTTATTGAACTAGAGTAAGCCCTGCTTTTGGATAAGGTAGATATTTATTCCTGAAACAAGTGGGCTAAGAATCTTTAAATGGAGCGTGGGATTTTTTTCCCATTGGGTGAAGCATCCAAAGGATTGATGCTAAGCTAATGAGACTTTTAAAAATTAACACCCAAAGCTAAATATTAATCAGATGGGTAGACTGTCCTAGTGGAGAAAAGAAAGGAAGAAATAAGCACTTGGACACAGGTTGGAATTTCAAACACCGTCAGAGGAAAAAAATGCTTTGAATATCTACAGAGTTTTTTTTATAGCCACATGCTTGGGATGACTGCATTACGACTGGCAGTCATGTGTGAGTCATAGTTTCTTTTTAAACAACTGAAAAACACACCCTTTTATTCCATACACTCCCTTATTTGGCTTATGCAACAATCTTACATTTTACTATGTTTTGTGTGATGTTTCAAGCATCACTCCCAACGTCTCCACTTGGAAATATATTAATTACTCTACAGTAATCAGCCCATGATTTGTGAAAACACAGTTTGTGATGCTCATTCTTTCCATGTACCGTTCCAGTAACTCTGTTCCCAACAGTCACGAACACAGATCCAAAGCATTGTGAATCTACTCAGATTCAACAGATTAACAAATATAGAACTGTATTTTCTCTCTCAAAGGTTCAATAAGAATGGGGAAGATCTGAATAGGAATTTCCCTGATGTCTTCAACAGTAACAATGTCACAATCCAGCCAGAGACTCAAGCAGTGATAAATTGGATACAAAATGAGACATTTGTTCTTTCAGCTAACTTGCATGGTGGAGCACTGGTTGCCAGTTATACATTTGATAATGGTAACCCAGGTAAGCTAATATCTGTGTTTCCTATTTGGGTCCATTTTTTTCTGCCAGCTTCAGTATGAGCAAAATAAAATGCCTGATGTGTTGAAGAGAAGCACCAGACTTACACGAGCTCAGATGTGTTGGGATACACGGATAGTACAGTTTCACTGGATCACACAAACTGATGTGTAGGTTTGGGGCTTCATATTTTTTATCTAAGACAATATTGTGTGTGTTTTAACATTAACTTGGCTTGTACCATGGCCATCTTTATTATACAGCTACTGGATTTTTACAAGGCTATAGCAGATCACGAGATGATGATGTTTTCATACACCTTGCAAGAACCTACTCTTCCAACCATGCCAGCATGTACAAAGGGAATGAATGTGGGAATAAACCAGTCTTTCCATATGGCATTACAAATGGGTATGCTTGGTATCAACTGAAAGGTAAAAATTTCAGTGTTTTCCAATTTTCTCTGATCTCCACTGCTTTTATTTGATTTTCCAACATGTACTTGCTAACACACCTCTGCATTCCTTGACAGCGAAAGTTCTGTGACTTGTCCACACTAGAGTTTAACTCAAGTGAGCTGATTGTTAATTAACATGAGCTATCCATCATGTTTGCACATAGCCTGGGCACTTCAGGACACAAGCTTTTGTGGAGCATCCAGACGAGCATGTACAAACATGTTAGCTAACACAAGTTAATGGACCAGCTTCCACTGGCTGAGTCTTCAGCTCCCCCCTGCCCTCAAGCCAGGCTCTTTTACTGCTCCATCAGCCAGCATGCCACCTGTCACAGTTGAGGGCAATTGCACCTGTATTCCCCCTCTGTGGTCCAGCAAGGGCACCTGCTCTCAGGCTTTCGGCTACCCTGGCTGTCACCTCTCTTAGGTGCATCTCTCTCCCTTCTGACCAGGGTATCTCCAGTTCTCTGCCTTAGAATCATAGGGTTGGAAGGGACCTCAGGAGGTCATCTAGTCCAACCCCCTGCTCAAAGCAGGACCAATCCCCAGACAGATTTTTGCCCCAGATCCCTAAATGGCCCCCACAAGGATTGAGCTCACAACCGTGGGTTTAGCAGGCCAATACTCAAACTACTGAGCTATCCCTCCCCCCCTGTGTTGTTATCAGTAAAAGACAGGCACTCAGAGCAAGCTTCTCTTGCCCTCTCTTCAGAGACTAACAGAGGGATCAGTAACAATTGTAAGTTAACCACCTAGCACTTCCTATTTTATTATTAAGATAAAAGCACTACAGAGAAAACATCAAAAACAATAAAAGAACCTACACACATACTAATCAATTAACTAGCGTTCACCTCAACCCTACCATGAGCTCTGGCAGGAGCAATCTTTCAGAACCCCACTCAAGGGGTTTCCTGGCAGTTTCAAATTCATCACAGCTTCAGCTCAGAACAAGCACACTCATGACAAGCTTAGTCCACCTCTTATACAGTTCAGGGATCTTTGATCTGGAGTTTCCAGGAGCAGGTAATTAGCAGACACTTGGTTTCTCTGTCCAGGGCATAAGTTCAAAGGGATGGATTCCAATGGGTCATTTGCATTCCCCTTACTCCCAGGTATTTCCTAGGAAATCCACTTTACATGCATTGTTCCAAAAGGTCCTTTGAAGTTCTTCATATTGCATTAATTGCAATTAAATGCAGATTGCATTAATCCTGTCTTCTGGCTAACAAAGTTCCATACAATTCCACAATAGTACATAAACGTGCATTTTTAATACAGGTTCCCCAAAGGTATTATACTTAATGCAGTAAAGATTATCTTAATTTCATAAAGTTTGTCCAGAGCATTGTCAATCTATCACATCTCTTCTGAGCTCCTCCTTAGCCAGCTGGCACAGCTATCTATCTATTGGCAAGCTGCCACTAAGGTTTCCCCTCCCCTTCTGCTGTCAGGCCAGCTTTTCCCCATTCAAATAACACCACAAGCCCATCTTCATTTGCACTTGCTCCATCACCCCCGCCCCTACAACACACAAATTGAGAGGGAAGGGGTTAATTTTTATGCATTAACATAGATGCACATACATATACGATGAACTCTGTGCCAAATTCTTATCTCTGCTATGCTTGTGTAAATCAAGTGTAACTCCAGTTATCAGTAGAGTTCATCTGGTGTAGCTGAGATAAAAAAATCTCTCTCCTTTTGTTTAAAAAGGAGAGAACCAATTTCATAGTTACATAACATCTATCTTCATGTCTAATCACTGAAACAAATACACCCCTATTTATATCGATGTGTAAATAACCAGATATACACACCTGAATAATCACATTCTGTGTACTATAATCACTACGAAAAGTGGCACTACACGTGTTTAGTAAACTATTTTCAACTACTCAACCAGTCTTCTCCCAAGCTTGGCAAAGCCTACATTCCTCCCAGAGTTCTCCATAGTGCAAATGCCAAATCCAGGTTTTTAAAACCAAAGAACTACAGCAGGGTGGATAAAAATCATTATATTAAAATATATGGAATTTTATTTAAATTAAATACCTTTTTATTTTTAAAAATAAACACATCACATTAAATTTGAAATTATGACAACCTATGTTTAGTCCAAACTTACTATAACCTATTTAAAACATTTAAATAAAAAATATATTCAAACCTGTTTGCTGACAAAGTTTTAAAGAAAGTCAAACCACTGAACTGGTGGAAGTCATTGGCTTAGCACCTGGAACCAGAGATTGTTGTAGTGCTAGTCCAGATTTTGACAGCAGTAACCTCTTCTGAAATTATAGAGAATATTTTCTTCATTTCAGTTTATTCACATAGTTCAGTTCATTAGCTACTTAATTCAAAGTTAAGAAATCAATTAGGAGTTGAAAAAACATGGAAGCTTGTTTTCCTCTTCCAATCTATGAATAAAAATTCAGTGTGAGAGAGTGAGATCTACTAGTTCTAAAATCTTGAAGGACATAGTGACTAGAAACAATCAGTTCAGTTCAATTCACGAACTACAGATAATACTTCCTTTGTTTAATAAATCAATTTTAAATGCAGAACATGCTTTGATAAAAATACATATTTTCCTTCTGTGTCCAGCACGTTTAAAGTAAGTTTTATTTAACTAATAAAAACATTTAAATGCTGTTTTTGTGAATTTCTAATTTAATTCCAGTTTCCATTCAAATAATTTGACACACACACAAAATAAAAATAAATCTAGTAAATAAGAAATATCATTTGCCATTTTCTAACATATGTGTAAAAACTAAAATACTGAATAAATGTATTTTAAGCTAAATCATTGCTTAGATAAATATGTGTAAGATATAGTGTATCCTCCCTGTTTAAATTAATTCACTTTGGTTCTCAGCATGCCAAAAAAACCCACATCTGAACAATTTTCTTATTATAAAAAAAAAAAAAAAATCACATTTTTCGTACATTCATAATTCAAATGACTAAAAGGATTTTGAGGCACAACTGAGCATGACAAACTTAGTGCCCCCCTTATAGATACAAGTACTTGAAGAGAGGTTTTGAATCAAAGGGTCCCCTTTCTCAACCATTATTATAGCCTCATTCTAGTAATTCCACCACACTTTGGGATTGGGTTTTTTTAAAGTAATTAAGCAGGTTTTCCACAGGGGATCATAAATCTAATTGACTATGGGATTAAAAAACAATTGTACTTCCCAATTTGTGGTAATTTGTCTAACTGAATTGCCCTTGCATCATGATCTAAGCAGGGGTCGGCAACCTTTCAGAAGTGGTGTGCCGAGTCTTCATTTATTCACTCTAATTTAAGGTTTCGCGTGCCAGTAATACATTTTAACGTTTTTAGAAGGTCTCTTTTTATAAGTGTATAATATATAACTAAACTACTGTTGTATGTAAAGTAAATAAGGTTTTTAAAATGTTTAAGAAGCTTCATTTAAAAATTAAATTAAAATGCAGAGCCCCCCCGGACCGGTGGCCAGTGTGAGTGCCACTGAAAATCAACTCGTGTGCCGCCTTCGGCACGCATGCCATAGGTTGCCTACCCCTAAGGAAATGCTTCGAGAAGGCTAGAGTTTAGGAAAAGTTGCAAGTCTCCTAGTCCATTTCTAGCTCTTACTCAGAGGCTCTCACTGTAATAATCAAAGAATTTTTTTTCTTTTTCTTAGGTGGGATGCAGGATTACAACTACATCTGGGGACAATGTTTTGAAATTACGTTGGAGTTGTCATGCTGTAAATATCCACCAGCAAGTCAACTTCAGGCCTTCTGGAATGACAACAAAGCTGCTTTGATTGAATACATTAAACAAGTTCATCTCGGTGGGTAGGCTTTTGTATTTTGAATTTCATCTGCTCAACTTCCAATATAGCTTGTAGGGTCAGCTGCTGTAACAACATGGACATGAACATGTAACAGGCTCTCCAGCAACAGGCTAGAATCAAAAGAACTACTTCTATAAGGGACTTTGCCTTTCAATATGAAATCTGTTTTTTCTTGATTCTTGCTGAATTAAAAGATGGATGTAGCAGAGAGCTGTGTGCACCATCCTCATTTTAGAAACAATGTTGTGAGCATGATGGTGGCTAAGGGAGGATAGTGAGACAGAGAATGCTGCCCAGAAGCAACTGGGACATCTGGAATATTAGCATTGTGAATGCATTTGTTCATAGACCGTTCTGAAGAAAAATGCAAACATTTTTTTTTAAAAACTGAATGATGTAGGTGAACCCCATTTAACCTGAGATTGGGGTTTGAGAAAAGAGAGGAAATCTCCAAACTAAGTGTATGTGAACAGATCCATTTACAGTAAAAGCTGTGTTATCTGGCACTTTACCAAGCGGAAATCTCTAGAAACTGGCATTTCTGATATCTCCAAGTTCAAATCTTCAGTAGGGTTGCCAGGCTCCCTGCCTGGCTCTGCATAGCTCCCCAGAAGCAGCGACATGTCCCTGCTGCTCCTAGGTAGAGGAACGGCCATGGGGGCTCTGTGTGCTGTCCCTGCCTCACCCCAAGCGCTGGCTCCGCAGCTCCCATTGGCCGGGAACCGTGGCCAATGGGAGCTGCGGAGGCAGCGCCTGGTCATGCCTCCGCCTAGGAACAGCAGGGACATGTCGCCACTTGCAGGGAGCCGGCCGAGGTGAGCGCCGCCCAGATCAGACACCCAAAAACCCTTCCCGTGCCCCAACCTCAAGCCCCATCCACACCCAAACTCCCTCCCAGAGCCCGTGTCCCACACCCCCTCCCTCAGCACAACCCCACAACCCCTCCCGCAGCACAACCCCACAACCCCTCCCACACCCAAACTCCCTCCCTCCATTAGTAAGTATAACTCAGTTAACCGGAATTTTTGACTAACCAGCACCCGCCATTCCCCCAACATGTTGGATAACAAAGCTTTTACTGTATCTAGCTTTATTCAAGTTGGATAGATATGGTCACAGTAGTGACACATAGCAGTCAAAGCACGTACATCCAGCTTTCACACCTATTAGTGGCAGTGAGCAGCGACTAGCATTGATTAAAATAGAAAGCTGTGAAAAGACGCAGCCATTCTAAGAGACATTTATGAAAAAGCTTTTTTAAATGAAGACTGACAAAACATATCATTTGTGTCAAATGGGAAAAGGGTGGGGCTTACTTTTTGTGGGTTCGCTTCATTTAGATTCCTGGAGCTATTAAGAGCAGAATTCATCTGCCTTCTTCATTCCTGACAGCCGTCCGGGTTTCAAAGTATCAATTAAAACTTCGTAAGCCACTGACCACACAGAGGGCCCATTTTTGCAGCTGTTATCTTCCCATTGACCTCTACGGTGCTTCTATATGCAGAGCAGCTACAGAACTGAAGTTACCTAAAATAGAGACTTGTGTTCAACCATCTCTGGGAAGTTGACACCAGTGGGCAGCGTTCAAAACAGGGTTCTCTGAGGAGTCAGACAAATATCCCAGCCTCTGCCTCCATCCTCCAGGTTCAGGAAGGAAAAGGAGTTAGAGAGATCCTGGGATCTAAAATCTACAGGGGGTCCATGTCTGGTGCAGACATGTGCTGAGGGGGAGAGGGGCATACAGCCAATACTGGGCATAGGAGATTAGAATCTAGAGTAGCTAGGCGCAGGGGGAGAACACACAGGTGAAGGAGCATGGCTCAACTACTTAAGAAATTAATGGCTTCTCCCACTCCTCTGTGGCTTTATCAAGGTGTCAGAGCTAGGAGCCAGTGGGAAGCAGCTGGCAACCGGTATTGCCAGTCTCAGGTGTTCAAAACTCATTAGTAAGGTTAAGATTTTGTCACAGTTGTTTTTAGTAAAAGCCGCGGACAGGTCACAAGCACTAAACAAAAATTCACAGAAGCCCAAGACCAGTCTGTGACTTTTACTAAAAATAATTGGCAGGGGAGAGGCTGATGGGGGATGACGACGCCCAAGCCCTGCTGTGAGGGGGGAAAAGGGGTTCAGCAGTCACTGCCAAGATGGCAGCTCCATGTCCCCTGCCACTCACAGCGGCTGGGAGCTCCGGGTCCCCCCACTGCCCAAGCCACCTCAGGGCTCTGGGTCCCCACCGGCTGACAGCTTCGGCCCCTGCACCCCATGGCTGAAGCAGAAAATGTCACAGAGATCTCTGAAAGTCATGGAATCCGTGACTTCCGTGACCTCCATAACAATCTTATCCTTATTTGTTAGTCATGCCCCATCTTCTCCCCCGCCCCCAAAAAAAATCCCAAGATATTAGCTTAAATGCAGTAAGACTTGAAAAATAATAATTTGGGTTCTCTTTATTTGCCTTCTGGTTTCTAAACAATTAGGATGTAGTGAGGTCACGTTTTCAAGCTTTTCTCCATAACCATGTGGGCTGCAATCTTACTTTTCATTTAAGAACAAAACAAAACATGAATTTGGAAGCTGTCTCTAAGAAAGACATCAAGCATTGCAAGATTTGACAACATTGCAACAGACTTCAGCCTTATGATATTAGCCCTTGGGGAAACTGTCCACCTATGCTCCTCATATGCTCCCTAGTATGAAGGAGAGAGAGAGGAAAATTTGCCCTGCTTGCCCAGCAAGGCCTGAACATAGGGTGACCAGACAGCAAGTGTGAAAAATCGGGACGGGGGTGAGGGGGTAATAGGCTTCTATATAAGAAAAAGCCTCAAATATCGGGACATCTGGTCACCCTAATGGAGCAGAAGCCTTCATCACTCAAGGAGTACTGCCTCACGTCACCACAATGGAACACTCCCAGCCCCTCCCTCAGCCAGGAATAGGACAGAAGTCACAGAACTCACCCTCATTAAACTTCTTTCTAAACCTACGAACTGTGGTTTAGTATGTTTTCTGCACAGTGTGGTGCACCTAAAAGTGACGGCCACACTTCAAAGGGTGAGGCGATCCTGAGCAATTTACAGTGGGCTGTGTGGGATTAGAGATGGCAGTTTGTATTGGGATGTTCACTAATTAAAGACAGTTGTAGGGTTTCACTTCAGAGAAAAGCAGCATGGGGAAGAAGGAATTAGATTTTTTTTAAGTGAAGTGTAGCAACTCTGCCCCCATGTGGGCAAAGGCTGGCAGTGCTAGAGGGCAGCAACTTTTAAATGGAAGAGATTCAGAAGCGAGCAGTGATTTAACAGAGACCAACCCACAGCACACACACACGAGACATTTCCACATTTCACTGCGCAACAGTTTGTTTCAAGTTTTCATATGGGGGTTAATGCCCCTATAGGTCTTATGGGCATACAGTGCTTAAATAGGGGCCTGCTCATATGGACCCTGATTACATATCCTGGAAGGAAAACGTAGGTGCACATTTCTAGTTAGCATACATATGTATTTTATAGCGTACTATAGAATTAGCATGTTTGTAACATTTGTTATAAAAAACCTGAGGGCAGGGAATTGTCAGGATTCACAGGCAGAAATTCACCCTGCTCTTTAAACTTGTCATAGATCCTTGGAGCCCAGTCATGGACCAAGACCCCATTGTGGTAGGCATTGTATAAACACAAAAAACTGTTCCTGCCCCAAAGAGCTTGCAATCTAAGACTATATCTACACTATGAGCTAGGGGTGCGATTCCCTGCTCATGTACACATACACAGATGAAAGCAAGCATGAGTATGTGTACACAGGCCTGCTGGGAATCACTCCCCTAGCTCGTAGTATAGACATAGTCTAAGTCATTGTTTCTCAACGACCGGTCTATGGACCGGCACCGGTCCCTGAGATCGCCCTAATATGGTTTAGGAAGGCAGCAAATCACTCCCTGGTATCAAAAAGGTTGAGAAACACAGACCTAAATAATCTTCTCTTTCTGAATAGGTTTTTTTTTTTTTTTTTTAAAGTTAGATGCCTACAGTTATTTTGCTTTCAAGGAAAAACATAAGCAGTGTGGTAGATGGCCAGGATGGGTTTTCTTCCTTTACAGAATTTATCAGTGGCACATGAGGGGAATCCCGCCGGGTTCTACAGTGTAGTAATATTTTATATGCAAGAATACCTTGCAGCAACTAGCAGCCTCAGCATAAGTGCTTATTTTGGATTTGTTATTCTCCCAAAGTTTATATGCAAAAACATATTCCCAAAAAACCTCCGTGTTGATGTGCCTTTAGATGCTAATAATATAATAATACTTGTAATATCAGTTGGAACTGGAAAAGGTTCAGAAAAGGGCAACAAAAATGATTAGGGGTATGAAACGGCTTCCATATGAGGAGCGATTAAGAAGACTGGGCCTTTTCAGCTTGGAAAAGAGATGACTAAGGGGGGCCATGATAAAGGTCTATAAAATCATGACTGGTGTGGAGAAAGTAACTAAGGAAGTGTTATTTAACACAAGAACTAGGGGGCTCCAAATGAAATTAATAGGCAGCAGGTTTAAAACAAACAAAAGGAAGTATTTATTCACACAACCTGTGGAACTCTTTGCCAGAGGATGCCAGACTATAACAGGGTTCAAAAAAGAACTAGATAAATTCATCAATGGCTTTTAGCCAGGATGGGCAGGAATGGTGTCCCTAGCTTCTGTTTGCCAGAAACTGGGAATGAGTGACAGGGAATGGATCACTTGATGATTACCTGTTCTGTTCATTCCCTCTGGGGCACCTGGTACTGGTCCCTGTCGGAAGACAGGATACTGGGCTAGATGGACCTTTGGTCTGACCCAGTATGGCCGTTCTTATGTTCTATCCACTGGCCATGCTTTTCATATTAAAGATGAAAGAGCCTGAAATTTGCCTAACTGAATGCTGCAGCCATTCTTATTATGGTCCCTCAGCTGAGTAAAAGTTTGGATGGCCCTACTTTATACTGCATCTCTGTCTGAAATGGGACTCTACATATGTAATTAGAATTGGTATAACTGTTCTGGGGACCAGAAGGAGGGAAGAGTCAGACCAGTTGAAAGTCTTTGGGTAAAGAAAAAAGGGAAAAAGTGGGCATGATATCATGGTAGGGGTCTACTATAGAGCAAGTAAAGTCCCATAGGACCTTCCTCCACTTCTTCTTCCTGATTTGGTGCTCTATAGTAAACTGCTCATTCTTGGAAATCTGGTGTGTTAGAAGATTTGGGAAGACTAAAATATAAGTAAATATACAATACTACTCTGCCTTTTTGAAACACTAGTCAAGAAGCAATGTTTGATCACACCAACAGGAAAAATGAATTTTTGTTTTGTTTTAAGCTAGGTAAATAAATTCAAGGGCATAAAAGAGATTTAAGCAAGTTCTTTTGTAGAGAACACGTGCAGCGACATCAATGTAAACTACGAAATTGTATCTTTAGAGAATGAGATGGAAAAGCTGATACTGCTGCATTTTAACTTGATGGGAAGGTAAATGATTAAGAACTAAGAATTCTGTGCTGTTGCTATTTATTTTCTTTAGCAATATGTAGGAGACTGGCTCTATTGTCTAGTTTTGGGAGGAAATGAATGAAACAAGCATATGCTGCAATGAATGATGAAAAAACTGGCTTTTCCAGACCAGAAAATGAAACCAAGAGTCACATTTACATACTCTCTCCCTGCCTCATAGGTGTAAAAGGTCAAGTTCTTGACAGGCATGGACAGCCTATACCAAATGTAATAGTGGAAGCCAAAGGAAGGGAACATATCTGTCCGTATAGAACCAATCGACATGGAGAATATTACCTTCTCCTCCTGCCTGGAAGCTATGTGCTTAATGTAAGATGACTACTCTGCTAAACCTTCGTTTCTAAATTATGTTCAGAGAGTTCTTGAAATTGCCAGAGACAGGATCCTATGAAATTAGGGGTTGGGGTTTGGATTTTTGTTTTGTTTTAATAAAATAAATGTGCAGTGTCTACACAGGGCAGGGGGTTCCCCTAATTTCTGAAAACAGCCATTCTCCTCTTGGTAACAACGTCAAATCAATATTCATCAATTTAGCATTTAGCAATACCCATTACTTATTGAGAAGTGAGCAGGTGAGAAGTACAAAAGGACACAGTATAAGGGGAGGGGGAATGGCAAGGACTGGCGTGACAGAACAAAATCTCTTTCATTCAGAGGCCTTTTAAATAGTTGTTGTATATTTTTAGGGTGAGCAGGATTAGATTTTTTTGGGTAAGTGTCAATAAATGTTGATTTCATCATACACATACAACCCCAACCAAAACTATTTCCATTAATGATCATCAAAATTAGAGACAAAGTAAGAAAAATGTTGCTTAAGAAATTATTAGAGCTTGATTTAAGGATATTTACTTTCTGTGTTTTGACATGTTGACAATTTGTCAAATCTAAAAAAATGCTTAAAAATAAACATCAGTAGTATCCATCAAAAATATAAAAAATGCAGCCAAGCCTGCCTATTTCCAATGTTTCCAGTTGAGGCATGGTGCTGGTCTGAAAAGTGACTATGTAAAAATGGCACCTTCTCATTGTGTATGCAGAGCCAGAGTTGGCCATTTGAATGAGGAAAAATGAGTACAGAAAATCCTATTTTCTAAGAAGAGTGCAAAGTTGGACAAACTATCAGCATTTTCTAAAGCCTAATATCTAGGTGGTAACATGACAGGCCTTCGACTAGTGGCAGGTTTGTCTTAATCAGTCGAATCCCAATACTGCTGATAAGTTAAGATATTGCATTCTAAATGGTAATGATTTTTTTGCAGGGGTCTCAGGATTTCTGTGGCCATAATCAAAAAAGTCATTGTGGTTGATGAGGGAACAAACTTGGAAATTGCTGCTCTGGAAATAGCCTAAATAACTAGAGACTGGATGGTAACTTTACATGTACTGGCAGAGGGCAGCAATATTCAGTAGAACGAGACAGAGGGGTGTGGAAGGGGAAAAGTGGTGGCTCCCTTCTATGCTACCTTTCCTCCAACCTGTGGAAGTCCCTTTGCAGGACTTCTACTTCCACCTCCAGGCATATTGCACACTGTATAGAAAGTAACTTGTTTGATTTAAGATGGAAGAGTCACATCTTAGAGTTCTCTAATACTTTGTCTTCGCATCAGTTTCATACATTTGAAATTCTTCAAGGCCAGCCTTACTCTGAAAAGTGACTGTAAAAAATGCTATTTTGGGGTTCTATGCTTATTGCTAAGACTAAGATTTTGTCATGGATATTTTTAGTAAAAGTCACAGACGGGTCACGGGCAAAAGAGAAAAATTCACGGAAGCCTGTGACTTGTCTGTGACTTTTACTAAAAAATATACCTGCCAAAATGGGGATCTGTAGGTCCCCACACAGCCTGAAGCAGGGCAGCTGTGCAGGGGCTAGGAACTGCCTGCAGCAGCTGGGGGCTGTGGGGTACCCCTGCTGCCCATGGGGGCCAGGAGCTGCGAGGTACCCCTGGCAATGGCAGCCAGGAACTGTGGGGGTTCCCCCGCCACCTGTGCTGGCTGGGAGCTCTGGGGGCCGCCAGAGGCGCTGGGGGTACCCCGCAGCTGCCTGCCCCCGGAGGAGACGGGGGACCCTGCAGCTCCCAACCACCGCAGGCTGAAGTCACGGAGGTCGCTAGAAGTCTCAGATTCCATGACATCCATGACTAAATCGTAGCCTTACTTATTGCTTCAGTGGATTTTCGCATCAGATGTCTGTTTACAAGTGGAAAAAAAAAATTTTCTACCTACCAGCCCTGTAAACTTATATTGGGGATCTGAAAGTGAAGCTGGGTTTTTCCTTCTAATGCATCACTGGGGGGAGGGATAGCTCAGTGGTTTGAGCATTGGCCTGCTAAACCCAGGGTTGTGAGTTCAATCCTTGAGGGGGCCATTTAGGGATCTGGGGCAAAAATCTGTCTGGGGATTGGTCCTGCTTTGAGCAGGGGGTTGGACTAGATGACCTCCTGAGGTCCCTTCCAACCCTCATATTCTATGATTCTATGATCACCACAACTGACAGGTTTTGCAGGCCAACTTAGACCTTTGACTGCATCACTCAGCTCTTCAAAAGAGTTTCATAGATTTAACTAATTGTAAATTAACAGAAATGTGTATTAAGTTACAAGAGAGCATAAAAGCCACTGCTCACTCAGTCTTAGCTGTGTTGACTCCGCAGAGTTACATGAGTAAACACATCACTTAAGTTAACAGATATTACTCTGCACCTTGTGAGGGGACTGACTAAGAAGCTGCCATTTTTATACAGTCACTTTTCAAAAGAATAGAATCTCATTTTAAAAAAGAAATAAAGACACTTCCCAACCTACAGCCAGCAAAGTGAATGACAGTTGTTGACTCTAGTTGTTTGGCCTATGCAAGGCAGAGACTCCTATCTAAATGTTAATACATGCAACAAGCAGCAAGGAGAAATCCTGACTGATGTCAGAGTTCATGGTAATATATTTATTATTCCCTGTGGATATTTCCAACCAATATGGACAAGCACATTCTGAGTTCTACCCAGCACTTACTCTTGTCCCTAGCATCTTAATCAAACAAAATATTCTTACTTTGGCTCACTCAATGCAGACTTCATTTCTTTTGCTCTGATAATTTGAGTTATCCAATAGTTAATTGTTCATTCATCATTAGCCAATAAACCAGCTAAAGCAAAATTTACTAAATCCCTTTTGTTCTCTGTGAAAAAATTGCCAAGAGATACCTAGTATGTTTTCTCCTCTGTTATCTAAAATGTTATTGCAAATAGACTTAAACTTGTGTAAAATATTTCTCACCCTTCTCATTTAATGTTCATTCTATATCTTTATCTTTATTTTCACAATCTACCTAACTAATTTATACAGGAGGAGCGCTACATCTAATCTCTGCATTAAATGCAAAGAAGCACTCACATAATTTACTTTACAAATATTTTAAACTAAAATGACTAGAGCTAGCATGTTAACCAAGCTAGTAAGAACATTTTCCTGTTTGTCCTTAGGCTACAGCACCCGGATCTGGATCAATACTAAAGACACTGCTAGTACCAAACAGTCCTGAAAACTTCAGTGCTTTGAAATATGACTTTGTTTTCCCAGAGGTCTCCACCCTAGCAAGAGATGCTTCATGCCCTATCAAACCTCTTTATCAGGATTTTGAAAGCATTTCAGCAGCAGTAAAACCTACTTTGCATTTCTTGGCTTTAATGACTGTTTTGTATACAGTTTTCAAATAAAGCCATGGATGAATTAGGTGAGACTTGAAGACATTATCTCTAGCACATCAATGCACAAATGTGTTTAAGAGCTAAAAGTTGTATTTGCAAAAGTGTGTATATTGTATAATTGAATACCTAAGATTTTTTTTAACCAAGTTTACTATATTTTTAAAATGTTGGCTGGACAATCAATAAATGTTTTGACTGGTTAAATATACCAGAATAATGCTGAAATCCATCCCCCTTTCACAAGATCAAGCTTGCAGCAGGTCTGTCTTCACAAGTTGAAGGTAGCTTAGATGTCTGTCTGCACCCCAGATATACCAGACCAAGACCTTTGATCTTCACCTGAAAACAGGGTCATTCCCCACACTGTGTAACTCTTCCTGTTTAATTGCCTTCTGAAGTCCCTGTAAGCTCTTCATTAACATGACTCACTATGCTTATAGACTTCTGTTGTAAGACCACAGTGGTCCACCAGGGATATAAGTGTCTCCCACCTCCATGTCTGGAGAAGTATGTCTCAAGGCACACTATCTTTGAGTGACCTGCCTTTGACTGCAAGGCCTAGTTAGAATAATTTTCAGCATGGATAACCCCTCAGATATTCTCTGTACGGACATCTCACAATCATGATGACCAGTGTAACCCTATAAAACAAAACAAAAAAATTCTCACTTAAGAAAGTTGAAAGCTGATCTAACAGTGCTCCAGGAACCCCACCTCATTGAGTCTGAGGCTTTTTTAGTAATTACCCAGCCAAGTCTAGGCAGGTGTTAATTCAGTTCAATAAAAAATTGAACCCATAAATCCTATCAACTGATAAAGACATGGAAGGAAGGCTCTTAATTCTTAACGCTGGCATCTCCCATGTTACATACACTTTTGTTAACTCCAGGCCCCCAACAAAGATGATTCCTCCTTTTTCAATCAATTATTTTGAGATTGACTCCTCCCTAGGAAATCTGATTATATCAAGGGACTTCAACAAAATGTTAGAACTGCTTTTGGACAGATCAAGCAGACTCCACCATTCCTAATCCTCCGTGAGGCAGACCATTATTGCCCAGATGGAGGTGGCAGCACCCTAGAGGTAGAAACAACACCTTTTTCTCACCCCTGCATTCTCTATAATCACAGAGTGAATGCTTTTTGGTATCAGATAGCTTGGTATTTCATTAACAATGAAATAACACCTGCTATGATATTTGATCATGCACCTGTGGTGTTGCTACTCATCTCCTGAAATATAGGGGCTACCGGAAGATGGAGGTTAAACTCCTCTTTACTACTAGACACACAATTAAAAAAAAAAAAACACCTTTGTGGAGGAAGAAACACAATTTTTCTTTGAGACCAATGACAACCATTTGATCTCCCAAGCAATCTCATTGGACACTTTCAAGGCATACTGAAGGGGAAGAATAATATCCTACTTCTCTCATAAAAAGAGCTAAGCAGGGTGAGCTGGTGAATTTAATGTAAAGGCTCAAGGAGGCAGATCTTAGCTATGCTGATTCTCCCTTTTCTGATAAACTCCAAGATGACCAATCTCAGATATGAAATTAATACATTAACCTTGGCTCAGGCTGAATTTGCTTTATTTAGAGTAAAACAGACATACTAGGAATTCAGCAACAAAACTGGGAAACTAATTCACTGAAAGCTAACATCCCCTCAATGCACTCGTCAGAGGCAGATACTCACCAATCAAAAAAGTATTAATGAACAATTCTCTAAATTCTACCAATGCTCATATTTAAACAAAAACTCCCGATGATTTAATTACTTGAGGAATACACCAAAAAAAAAACTGCGACTCCCCCAGCTAACAGAAGAACAAAACATTTGGCTTGATTCCCCTTTACAACTTCTGAGAGCATGGCTGTCCTATGCAACAAGAAATTGGGTAAGGCCCCAGCCTCGAAGGCTTTCCTGATGAATTTTATGCCCAATTCAAAGACACTCTGGCTCCCAGACTGGCCAAAGTATACACTGAGGCTTTTTGGTAGAGGCACTCTGCCCTCTTCAATGAATGAAGCCCTAATCGCTGTCAGTTTTAAGCCTGACAAAGATGCCTATGAACATGCTAGCTATTTACTAATATCCATAATCAACTCTGTTAGTCTTTAAGGTGCCACCAGACTCCTTGTTGTTTTCATAATCAACTCTGATATTAAAATATTGTCTAGAATCCTAGCTGGATGATTAGAAAAAGTAATGAGCATAATACACCTGGACCAGGTGGGTTTTATAAAAGAGAGACAAGGGTCAGAAAACACTCATCTTAATGTGCTGTCCTACTATCAAAACCCCTTAAAACTGATGGCTGTTCTATTGGTGGATGTGGAAAAGCCTCCAACAGAGCAAATTTGAGGTATTTTTTCCTCATCCTATAAAAATATGGACTTCGTCCCTCTTTCATTTCCTAGGTTAGACTTCCGTGCTCCAATCTCAGGTTGCAACCAATAACTACGTTTCCCCTCTTTTCAGTCTCTAGTCCCACAATAATAGACAGGGTTGTCTCCCCCCTCCCCTCCTATTTGATTTGGCCTTGGAGCTGCATGCAATACAAATCAGAGCATGCTAGGGGATCCAAGGTATTACATATAGGGTCCTAACAGACAAAAATATGCTGATATACTTTTATTCATCACCAACCCCCCTCAGGCCACCCCCAATATATTACAAAACCATTGAATTGTTTGGGAAAATCCCAGGGCACAAAATTAATTGGCACAAGTTGGAGGCTGTCAGTATCTCTCAGAAAGTGCATAATGTCACCCTCTTAGACAAAACTTTTCGCTGGCAACAGGAAGAAATCAGCCAGTGGGCTTGGGAGTCTGCTTTTCTAGGAATATAAAAGAAAGTCAAAATTAATTTTAATCCTCTTACCACACCAATAGCTTTGGATTTACATAGATGGCAGGTCCTCCCTCTATCCCTTTGGGGTAGAGTTTAATATATTAAAGATGAATGTCCTCCTAATGCTTCTATTTATGCTTAGCTCCTTGCCAGTTTATAATTACCCTTCTGGTATTTTTTTTTTCTTCAGAATTAACATTTGTAAGATCTTCTTGTGGGGTGTTGGCAACAAGCCCAGAATATCCTTTGAGAAAAACCGCGACTGCCTATCAAATCAGGAGGCTTTGGGTCTACCCAACTTTAGGCTTTACTATATTAGCCTCAATCTTGAGACAAGTGGCATAATGACTGGCCCTTCAACGCTCAGGCTCTCCAGCCTGGCTGTACATGGAGGAAGGAAAGGACAGTTACCTGTTCCGTAACTGGCGTTCTTCGAGATGTGTTGCTCCTGTCTATTCCACAGTAGGTGTGCGTGCTCACCACGTGCACCAGTGCCGGAAGTTTTTCCCTTAGCAGTACCCATACTGGGGGAGTACCGTGGCGACCCCTGGAGTGGCGCCTGTATATCGCGCTATAAGGGGAGCTATGGGCTCCCCCCACCCTCGGTTCCTTCTTGCCGGACAACTCCGACAGAGGGGTGTGGAATAGACAGGAGCAACACATCTCGAAGAACGCCAGTTACGGAACAGGTAACTGTCCTTTCTTCTTCGAGTGATTGCTCCTGCGTATTCCACAGTAGGTGATTCCAAGCAATATCTGTTGGAGGTGGGTAGGAGTTCAGGATGGTTCGGGACCAAGTACCGCCCTGCCAAACCCGGCATCATCTCTAGACTGGGAGACGATCGCATAATGCGAAGTAAATGTGTGAACTGAGGCCCACGTGGCCGCCCTACAAATGTCCTGGATGGGAACATGGGCGACGTAGGCAGCTGATGAGGCCTGAGCCCTCGTGGAGTGTGCCCTTACAATCGGTGGTGGGGGAATCCCTGCCAAATCATAACACGTGCGTATGCACGAGGTGATCCAGCGTGAAAGTCGCTGGGTGGAGATGGGTTGCCCCTTAGCCCACTCGGCCAAGGCAATAAAGAGTTGAGAGGATTTCCGGAACGGCTTAGTCCGATCCAGATAAAAAGCCAACGCCCTACACACATCGACCGTGTGGAGGTGGCGTTCCTCACTAGAGGAATGGGGCTTGGGACAGAGCACGGGGGAGGAAGATACTCTGCTCCATATGGAAGGCGGAGACCACCTTCGGGAGGAACGTCGGGTGTGGGCGGAGCTGCACTTTATCCCTATGGAAAACCGTATTAGGGGGTTCCGAGGTTAAGACCCTGAGCTCTGAGACACGTCAGGCCGACGTGATCGCCACTAGGAAGGCCACCTTCCATGAGAGGTGTGACCAGGAACGCGTGACCAGGGGTTCAAAGGGGGGTCCCGTGAGATGGGACATGACCAGGTTGAGGTCCCATTGCGGCACGGGGGGCCTAGCATATGGGAACCAACGGTCAAGGCCCTTCAGGAAACGGGAGGTCGTCGAGTGGGAGAAGACCAAGTGGCCTTGCACTAGCGGGTGGAAAGCCGATATGGCCACCAGGTGCACCCTGACCGAGGCAGGTGCCAGTCCCTTGGCTCTAAAGGATAAGAGGTAGTCCAGGATAAACTGGAAAGGTGCGGTGGAAGGGGACACTCCCCGCTCACTTGCCCACCTGGCAAACCTGGACCACTTCGCCACGTACGTCCGATGCGTGGATGGCTTCCTGCTTTCCAGGAGGACTTGCCTTACCTGCTCCGAACACCGATTCTCCTCCTCATTCAGCCACGGAGCAGCCACGCTGTCAGGTGAAGCGCGGCCAGATTGGGATGGAGGAGGCGCCCCCCGTCGTGGGAGAGGAGGTCCGGGCGGAGTGTGGGGGGCCGCTAAAAGGCGTAGGAGGGGCCCGTACCAGTGCTAGCGGGCCCACGCCGGGGCTATGAGAATGACTCTTGCATTGTCCACATTCACCTTGTGAAGGACCTTGGCGATGAGGGGGAACGCATAGAGGAGCTGGCACAACCAGCTCAGGAGGAACACATCGGAGATCGCGCCTTCCCCTCCCTCTCCCCTGGAGCAGGACCGGGGGGCAATGCCGGTTCTGACGGGTTGCAAACAAGTCGATCTGGGGAGCTCCCCACTCTTGGAAGAGCCGGTGAGTGACCTCCGAGTGGAGCGACCACTTGTTCTGGGGGGAGAGGACCCTGCTGAGGCAGTCCACTTGCGTATTGCGGATGCCCGGGAGGTGAGCCGC